CCTCTTGCATTTCATGGAGAAAAGGTCTGAAACTCCCAGCATCCCCTGCCAAAAATTATTTATTTATTCATTTATCAAGCTTATAATAAATATAAGCCTCGGGGCGGCTTACAAAAATTGTGCTTAAAACAGCCACAAATTCTACAGACCAGCCACGGATGTGCAAACCTTGGGGGCTTTTCTGCAGCATAAAACAGTTCGGGGAGCGCTGATTTCCAAACTGAGACGTTTCCTCCTCTTAACGCATCTGGAAACAGCTGGTGTGCCTGCGGCCATCAAGCACTGCGACTGGTTGCTGGACAGGTGTCAGAAGAAAGACGGCTTCGCAGGTGGACGGCTTCCTCTTCTCGGCTGCCAAGCCAGCACAGGCTCCTCCAACGCTGGGATGTTTAGCCTCTTCCCGACTTGTCCTGCCGAGGTCACTTGGCCGGGGAGGTAGGTGGGCTCCTTCAGGTCGGAGGGGGCAACTCTTGGCGCTTTTCCACGTTAAACAATTCCTCTACTCCCTCTGCGACAACTTTTTCGTAACTTGTTTTCCACCGTGTTTCTGGTCATGAGAGCCAGATGCCTATTAATACTTGGAAATCCTGTACGGATTTTGCAGAGCTCAGTGCTGGAAGGGTTGTTTTGCTAATGGGAATGCAAAGTAGATCCTGGGTCTCTTGCTGATAAATGCCAAGCTTGAATGGAGTTCCTAAAAGAAACATCTGCTCTGTCCTCTGTAAAACCATCAAACCGATGGCCCCCGGCAAGGTGGAATCTCGTTTATGGCGGAACAAGCATTCCTGGTGCATGTTCTGGACCTCTGCTCACACTCCTGCCTTCCACTACATGGAAATGTGTACCCTGGATGTTTATGCAGCACCATTAGCCCGCAAGTCACTTTACTGACTTAACATAAGCAAAAAGAGAAAGGTCTCGGCGTCAAAGTTCTTTTCAATTTCAAGAGGGCAGCAAGTTTTTTCAAGGTAAGCAGATTCCGAAGTGGTTTGCAACCAAAAGGCAAGAAAGTGGCTCTTAGAGCACATCAAGCCAGAGGTTTGCCTAGAAGCAAAAATGACAAAACCAAGGCGGTCATACTTCGGACACAACATGAGAAGGCAAAACTCCCTGGAGAAGACTCTCATGCTAGGGTGTTGTGAGGTCCTAACTCACGTGTCTAATTAACTCACCCTGAAGCCGGCAATAAAACTAAAGTCTTTTATTGCTACTTTCTACAAGATTTACAGCACTACAGAAAAGCTCTGCTGCAAAGGTCTAACCCAGTCAGTTGCCTCTCTCTTTGTGACGTCTCTGGGGAGACCGCGTGGGATTAGCTTTTCCTCTCACGTCTTTCCGCTCTTGGGTGGGACAAAGCTTTGTCTTGTCTTTTTCGCTCCAATCGTCGTAAGCTACGTCTAAGATTAGCGTTGACGAAGGACAGCCCACTCCCACTCCCCGAGTCACACAGCGTCAGGAGGTGGTGGTGGGGGGGGGGGTATCTGGTCCACGCTTCTCAGATTCAGAATGGGGAGAAGTCTCCCGTTCAGAAGCCTCATGACCAGGCTGAGACAGGGCTGTTTGTTCAGGGGGCAAAGGGTCAGGATGTGGGGGAGCTACTTGTTCGGTAGTTCCCAAGTCAGGCTGGCGAGGGGTCATTTGGTTACTGGGCCCCAAGCGTAAGTCATCTTACTCTAATGTCTGGTTCTCATTTTGAACGTTTGACTCTTTCTCGTGAGGTGCCGTCTCTGTCGAGACGTCAGGCATGACACTGGGAAAGTTGAAGACAGAAAAGAAACGGAAGAACCGTCAAGAGATGGATGGGCTCCATCCAGGACGCCACAGCCTGGAATTTACAAAAGCTGAGCAGGGTTGTCCCGGATAGGATATTCCGAAGGGCCTTCATTCATAGGGTCGCCCTAACTTGGAGACCTCTTGATGGCATGGAAGAACGACAACAAGCTTACAGCCGTCTACCCACCTTGATTGCTGTAAGTGGACAAATGATAAGCTTCCGTTGATTTTAACTAAAGGATCTTAATGACCAGGTATGTTTTCTCGGTAAGTCGGAAACTCCTCCCAGCCTTTGGAATGCAATGCCCAGCAGCCCTTGAGAAGCTGACAGCTCTCCAAGGGTGAGGGGAATGGACAAAGACCCCGCTGTAAGGCAGTTTGGCAATTTCAATCCAAAGAGGAGACAGAAAGAGAAAGCGAGAGTTTTAGAGCTGTGAGTCGGCTGGAAAGGCATACTTCACAGGTGGAGAACATCTACGAATCTGAGGCAGGGTTCGCAGCTGTGCTATCTCTTAGTGACTCACTTTTCAGTACACAGATATAGACATTTTTAATAATCCAGCTCAGACAAATCAATGTTCAGGCAATCACAGCAGTTTTACTCAAGGGTTGCAATAAATGCAGCTAAAACCAAAACAGTTTTGTACAGTAAGCCCTAAACACAGTTCAAAACAAAATTTGATCGGTTGGCCCAGGCCTCTTTCGAACAGCTGCACCGTCACTCCTGCCAATGGTGGGCAAGGATTGACCCTGGCAGGCCTCCATCTGGAAGGTTTTCCACGGTCTGAAGGCCACAACCAAAAGGCCCTGGTACTGCACCCAGCTGCGGTACCTCTTCCGGGGCAGGAGCACGGTGCGTTGCTCTCAGCGCTTGGAGGCAATCTGGAGCTTCCGAGGCAATTCTCAAGGTATCTTGAACCTTGTTGGGCATTTGCCTGAATGGATGAGGCCTCCAAGGAACGGACAGTCAGCGCTGTACACACTGGCCCTGCCTCAAGACATAAAGATCTGGCAGGATCCATCTCTCTGGCAGCCACCGGACTGTTCCCCACACTTGGCCCTGGCCAGGAAGCAAACTGAGCCGAGATCAAGCCTGCGAAAATTCTGGAACAATTGTGGCTTCCTTGCGCAAAGCAGGTTAAGCATGTATATTTTTTGCACAAAACAAAGTATGTAATTCTTTGCACAAAACCCACAACGTACATAATGATTTGCGCAAGCAATGTGAAGCCTGTAAGTCACACATGCGGAAACAATGCTCCACTTGGACTAACTTCTCACTAGATGCCCACATAGACACTTGAAGTGTGGCCGACTTAGGGGAGAGAAGCAGGTCAGGGGAAATTTGAAGGATTTCCACCCCCAGACCTGATTCCCCACACATCCCTCGCCTACATCTTTGGACCCACAGACCCTGTCCCTTCCCTTCACCTTGCTGTGCTGAATGTTAGTAGAAAACTGTGCAGGCTTGGACCCAGAACCAGTCTCAGGGCCTCTTAGGGTATTAAGGGTATAACCCTAAGCCAGTTTAGTCATGCATAGGATTGGCTGGATGGGAAACGCTGGGAGGGCTTTTCTCTGTGCAAGCATGCATAAAATTGCACCATAAAACCAGCATTTCGAACTGAAACCAGAAACAAACTGCCAGCAAACATTAGAAAAACGGCAGCATAAACTCCAGTAGCAACATCTGCTCTGAACTCTGTGGTCAAATTAACAAGTTGGAAGCTTGACTTAGAACTGTGATTTTCCAGCTACTTTTCAAATGCAACTTCCACCCCGGACAAGCTGCTGTCGCCTTAAATTGGCTGTGATGAAGGGCATGAGTAAATCATATTATTTACAGAATGAAAGAGACACCTTCACCACCAAGGAAACAAAGGATCAAGTGACCTGCTAAGTAACTTGCGTAACTGTGAGACCGCAGGGTGTTCAATCTGTAAGGAAAGCTGAATCTTAACTTTTGCTCCAGTCTCCATCTCCAGTCAAGATGAAGTCCTCTGAATAAACCAAGCTTAGCAATCAGGCTCGGCCTATCTGTGTCAATTCCTAAAAGTGGGAATTCTATAGCTGTGCATCAAGCAGTCCAAGGACCGTAGACTGTATGAGCAAGTTGTATCAGCATACACTCGATGGCCTGCATGGCCCCTTCCAACGCTACCATTCTATGATTATATGCCCATTTTGGGGTATGTTGCTAGTCATTTAAATAATTTAGGGCCCTGGGGCAAAATCTGCATGAAAATCTGCATGAGCTATGTTATACACGTGTATACAAATTAAGAAATATTGACAAGGGTTCATTTGAATTCCACAGGAGACAGAAACATTGACAAAACCTGCCAATTCATTTTTCATCGAAATCATCTTGGAGAAAATAAATTCTTCAGTTAATTGGCTTCCTGCCTGATTATCTCAAACCAACAGGAAAAAAGTTTATTTTCTAGACTTAATTGACTTGCTGGTAAAGATTTGGGAAGGGACTGCTGAGCAGGTAGGGAGAGCCTCTTTGGCTGCAGTCCACCTGAAAAACTTTCCTCTGCATGGCCTTCCATTATTTTTATTTATTAATTTTATTTCTATATTGCTCCTTAGCCAAAGCTGTCTGGGAGTTTTAAACAATGTATAAAAACAGAAAACAAACGACAGCACTAGAATACAATACAAATACCATAAAAACAACAACGTTAAAATGAATTCTAAATAGCTTAAAATACAAAAGGCCCAGCAAAAAAGGAATCTTCATCAGGGGAATCTCCTCAGCCCCCTGAATAATCAAGGAGAAGAGGGCTGCCTTCACCTGGTGCCGAAAAGATGGCAAGTTTGGTGCCAAGTGGGCCGCAGCAGGCAGGCTGTTCTGAAGATGGGGGCCACCACGGAAAAGGCCCTCCCCCTTACTGCCACCCTCCGAGCTTCCTGCGGGGTAGGCACTTGGCGGAAGCTGATCGTGAGTGCCACGCAATAACAGGACACCCAGGTCAGTGGGAAATGGATCCCAAGTCCTTTCAAATATAATAGGATCTCAGACCATACGAGCCCATGGCAAGCAACCTATCCTATTTCGTCAACCTTCACCCCATAGGACACATTCCAAAATCGCAACTTCTGCGTGCAGCAGGCACCTTTTGCCCGTGCTTGCAGGCTACGAATGTGTTGCTTCTGCTCCCCCACCACAAAAGCTCGGGTCTCCCTGGATGCACAAGCCAGCCAGGACGCATCGCCCGTACCTGCGTTCTCCTCAGACTGGTTGAAGCCGCAAATCTGGCAGATGCTGCGAACCCACTTGTTCATGTCATCCTCCGTTTCAGCAACCAGGTAGAAGGTCCTCTCGCTCGTCTTGATGTCGAAGACGTAACTGTCCTGCAGCTCCTTCTTGTTGAAGGTCAGTCCGGCATCCACCTGCTCGCAGAAGTTGAGGTTGATCACGCGCAGCGGCTTCTTGGAATGGTCGTTCTTGTAATACTCCAGGACGTCCGGGTCCCCGCTCATGCGGCCACTGCGCAGGATGAACCAGCGCTTCTTCCATGCCTAGAAGTGCAAAGAGAAGCCCTGAATTATTCTGGGCCGTTGCCAGGTACCAAGTCAGCTCAGGTCAGGCCCGGGTTGGGAACCTTGCGGGGACCACACTGCAGGCAAAGGGCCACTGGGCGAGCATCCCGCCCCTTCGCCGTCTGGTAACAACACTGCTTTCTTTGCAGCACTGGGAGAGATTCAGAGCATTTGATCAGCTGTAATGCCATTTACAAGGGCTTAGCAGAGCTATCATGGGAAGGATGTTTTGGAGGGCTTTCATTCAACAGGGTCACCGTAAGTCAGACGCAACTTGATGGCACATCACAACAACAACAGCAGCTTTATATCGGGGCATGGGGTCAGCTGCTTAACCTGTCTTGTGATTTAATTTGTCTAAGCTACAGTAGCGTTTAAATGTTGGTTTCCAATGTGGCAGTGTTTTGTCGCAATGTTTTTATTGTTATCTGTATTTTATATGGTATTGCGAATTGTGCTTGATGTGCTACGGACCACCAAGACGTTCTTCTGTAAAAAAATGAAAGATAAAAATGCACATGACTGGACCTGAACAAGAGGGTACATCTTTGCTTTTCTGGCTTGAGAGAGATGGAATTTCTGCCTCATGCAACAAAATTTCATGGACGGGCCTTGAACTAGCTGGAACAACCTTGAATGGGCAACAAATGCGGAACGGTGATTTATGAGCCTTGTCAGCAAGCTCTGATCCGGGACGACAAAGGGCTGAGCTGGAGGGTTTGCCAGTGCTTGATCTGGGGAAACATTTATTTAGCACATTTGTATCCCACAACTCCAAGTTTTTTTTTAATGTTCGTATTGTGTATAGCCTGAACGGGAGGGGAAAACTATGCCAGAGCTAAGACACTTTGGGGCACTTGTAGAGGTGGAAAAGCAAGGTATAAATGCTAATTCTAAATCTAAACTTCCTTAATGTGTATAAAACATGGCAATGCGCTTGCGGACGACACACGCAGGACAACACACACCCTGCCTTCTGAAACCCTGCTACTTGGGTTCCGGAGGTTGGCCAGGTGTTCATTCTTCACACATAGCTTCATATTTGGGTTCCAAGCCATAAAGGGGAGAAACTGACTCCAAAAGAACAGGTCACAGGGGCTGAACTCCAGGCTACTACCCGGATGGGGTGAAGTTGTAGATCAGCCATAAAGATCTCCAATTTTGTTCAGGTACTCCTCATTGAAAAGAGCTTTCAATTACAATGCTTGGGTGGAATCAGGAGCTGTACATTGGTGAAGAACAACAAGAAAGCTTGTGGAGTGTAGTGGTCAAGAGCGCGGGACTGGGACTCAGAGGATCCGGGTTCTAGTCCCCGCTCAGCCATGGAGCCAACTGGGTGACTTCGGGCCAGTCACAGGCTCTCAGCCCAACCTACCTCACAGGGTTATTGTTGTGGGGATAAGACGGAGCATCAGAAGAGAATGATGTAAGACGCACTGAGTTCTTTGTAAGAAAAGAGGCGGGATATAAATCCAATCAATCAATCGATTGATCAAGCAAGCAGGTGCCCCTTCCTACCCCCACAAAAAAAGGTTGCTAGCTTAAGAGGTCCAAGTCACCCTCTCCTCAATAAGAACAACAGGCGGATTGGTACCTATTCCCCCTCCAGCATCTTTTGCTCAAGGCTCAATGACAGAGCTGGCCCTTTGTGCTCAGTATCATATTCCAAAGCAAAACTTTAGGCAGGGGTCAGAAGGAAAAAGCTTTTGCAAAAAAAGCAATCCCTCCCCCTTCGTAACGTATAATTACTTTAGCATAGAGCTTCCACATCCACAGGCAGTCTATCTGGGAAAGGTCAGATGTGGCATCACGGGAATTTTAAATGGCATCTCAAAGGAACTTCTGGGGGCCACGGGCAGGCATCAGAACAGCATTGGGCCCTGCTGAAGTCCTGGCAGACACGTACCGGTGTTTTTTCTGCCTGTGGACAATTTACATGCTCCCCCAGTTCTCCTCTTAAGAGGCAATTTACAAACTCATATACGTTCTGCTGCTCTTGATAACATCTTCCTCTTGCAGAGCAAAAAAATCTGTTTTGTATGTAAGGAACAGCAAGCTGACGCTTGCTTTAAAGGCTGTTTCTCCATTCATGCATCTCTCTCTCTGCCAAGAAGCACATGTATCTGCAGAATACATATTGGCCCAGCTGCCTGAGACAGACAGTGGAGACCAAAGCTAGAATTTTAAAAGCACAAAACACACCGTTCTTTCATCACAGGCTGTCAAGGAAGCATGGATGTGATCCCTGCAGCTCTTGAACACACAGCTGTCCCGGCTGAAGCTGTCGTGGTTTGGTCTGATGCGCATCCCTTGAATATCCCATGGCAGTGAAGTGCATCTTCAGTGCCCCCTTTTCCTGGTTTCAATGTGTCCCAGGGCTGGCCTGCTTAATTTAGGTTATGTTTCTATGTATTTACAATCTGCACACCGTTTTTCTCCTGCAACGGTTCCCACACTGATCCTCAAACACCACCAAAAACAATAGTCAACGGAAAACAGTTCACAAAGCTAATTCACAACTGCGGCCGGTGATTCAGTCAGAGCAAACAGCCCACAAACAGACACAAGGGGGCTGCTTCAAAATCATCAGGTGATATTAATTTAATCATTTACATCCCGTCCTTCCGCTATTAAACAGAAGAGGCCCAGTGAAACCAGACTAACATGACCTCAGGGGGGGCACCTTAGGGGCAGCCACCGAAAAGGCCCTGCTCTGTTTCAGTGGTGTTCCATTTGGCCACAATCCCTATGCATGCCTGGATGGAAAGAAATCCTAGAACTCTCCATTATGGCTGGCTGAGGAATGCTGGGAATTGTAGGACATCCTTCCTGTCTAAACATACATAGGATTTGTCTCTTAAACTCGAAGCTTGGAAAGAAAAATACCTGACACCTATCATTAAATAGATGGACGTCTCTCCACTTACTATACATCTGAGTCTCTCCTTCAACCACTGATATCATGGGGATGCCTGCTTAGATAGATGAACTGATTATATTAACATCGGTCTTTGCAATGGAAGCAATTGCTTCTTTGTTCCATTTTATGTTCACTCCTTTTTTCTTCTGTACAGTAAGTGTATATTACAGTAAGTAATGCTCCTTACTGATCTCTTATGTTAGGATTCCTCCTTTATTTTAGCTTGGCCATTGCTAACATTACTGTTATGCTGCAAAGAAAAGATTTTTAAACATCTGTTAAACCTTATCCTCCTTTAAAAAAACCCCCTCTTAATCTAATGGTCGTGCACACAGGAGCAGCAGGCAATTTCGGGAGGGGTGGGGGTGCGTGGTCTACAGAAGGGCCCCAGTGCAATCCCGAACTTGTTCTATTAAATAAAAAGGCAGCATGTCATATAGAAATTATTTCTCCATTTGGCATCCCAGGGAGACTCTGCCAGCAAACAAGGTGGGGTTGGAACAGGGGTGGGCACACTGCAGCCCCTCGCCTAATTCCAGAGGCCCTCTGGCAGGGATCGGGCCAGGAATTGGCCAGGAGTGATCGGCAGCCTGCTGGGTGAGGAGGACAGGGGACCAAGAGGGAGAAAAGGCGAGGGTGGCGAGAGAGGGAGGGAGAACACGGATGGCCCCCACCCACAATGGGTCTTGGACTTGCTTACTGTTTGTGGGATGAATTCCCTCTGGGAGAACCTCTTGCTGGGGTGCATGGACAAGAGCAACCCAAAATTACCACAGATTTTTGATGCCAATAAGTGGGCATTTCAATCTTTTAGGATAGGGGGAAATGGCACAAAAGCCAGGGATCCACCAAATGGTTGGAGGCTGGTGGAGGGTTCGGAGGGGAACCCCAGTGGCCTTATTTCATAGAATCATAGAAGAGCAGAGTTGGACTGGGCCATTGGGTCCACCCCCCTGCTCAGTGCGGGACTCCCAGCTGAACCCTCCCTCTCAGAGGGCTGTCCAGCTGCATCTTGAATGCCTCCAGGGTGGGAGAGCCCAGCACCCTCCAGGTCTTGGCTTCTGTTGTTGCACAGTTCTAGCAATCAGGATATTTTCCTGATATCCAGCAAGAACCTGGCTTCCTGAAACTTGAGTCCGTTGTTCCGTGTCTTTCACACCAGGACGACTGAGAAGAGATCCTGTTCTTCCTTTTTGCGACAGTCTTTCATTTGGCCTCATCTCTAGTTCCATCCTGGCCTGGAGGGCCTCCCAAGACTCCAGAAGCAGGGCCCCACAAGCTGGGGGTGTCCCACGCCATCTCCCCAGAGCTTCCCCTGCTCTGCCCTCCAGCAAAACTGAGGCCTGGAAGATTCTCTCTCTTGTGGGACATCACCAGATGAACCAGGTGAACAATAACCGAGGCTGGGCAGAGTTCATCCCTATGTTTCTTAGGCAAACAAGGTTCAGAGAAAGAATTGAGTTGGAAAAGGGTTCTGTTGCCATCCAGTCAGGTGGAAGGGCATTCAGGTGCCCTTACCCACACATCTGGATCAGAGTCACCTGCTGAAGAGCTCAGGCCAAGAACTCTGCTGTCCTCCGGGCTGGAAAAGAAGGAAATAAAGAGTCCTCGGACCACTTCTGGATGTACTAGCCAGAAAGCAGCCAGAGAACAGCTCCCTTGCTGCTCACTCCTCAGCCCTTGAAAAACAAACAAGGCATCACCCAGGGCTTCAGGGCTTCTGCACAGAGCTCGCGTCATGGACGTGCGTGGAACAGGGAACAGGCTGACACATTCCCGGTCCAGGGGTCACCTTCTGCCACCTGTAATTTTCAATTAAGATAAAGTGGCATTTTGTTCCACAAAGCTGGGAAGGACCAAAGCACAAAGAACAGAAGAGAGCTCCACTCCACTTGGCGAACACCCAGCAAGTTAATTGGGCCCCGAACTATTAACCAGCCGCCTTTCCAAAGCCATGCCAAGCATGATGCTGCATTTATCTTCCGCAAATAGATTTGATTCCCCCCCACCCCTTTGTTTGGTGCTGGTGCCACAGCACACAGCTTGGGCACACAGCTGT